AACATTCTGCCAAAAGCATCCTTGATTATAGCAACTCGAGGTTTGAATTTGTTCTTCAGTTCCTTGAGCTTAAGATATGCTGAGCAAGTTCGGCCCTTTTGATTTTCTGACTCCAACTCCTTGCACATTTTATTGTAATATTTTGCTTTGTCATCCCGTACTGTCTATTTTGCTAATTTTTCTTCATCCTGTAATTTTTTCCTTTTTAAAAGGGCTTCATAATAAAAACAGAAACCTCTGAGGGATGGAATATATACAAATCGCCCATGTAGAAGAATTACAAATAACTGATGTAGCTATCCCACCCTCAGTGAAGGAAAACAAAAATACCCTATTACTGAAATGTGGGCTGCAGAGAATGAAAGAGCCAAAGAGCCCAGGATGGAAAATGAGGTAGGAAGGGAAGTTTTTAACGTACAAAAACCAGACACCTGAGGCTAGTGATGTGGATAAATCAGGTATGGTGTAACAAAAATGGCACTTTATCTCTGTGGTATCCAAGCCAAAAAACCCAACAAATTTCGATTGCAGGTACAGCCTACAATGCATCAGGTCAATAATTCTCAAAATTGTCAAGGCAGCAAAAAACAAGAAAAGCTGGAGAGACTATCACAGCCAAGAGAAGCCTAAGTGGACATGACATTTAAAAATAATGTGGTGTCCTAGGAGCCAGGAGAGAAAAAGGACATTAGATGAAAATAAAGGAAATCCCAATAAATAAATAAACTGGTTTGTTAATTGGAACAAATGTATCATTATTGTAAGCTATTATTAATAATAGGGAACTGGATGCAGAGTAGAAGAGAACAAACTCTCTATATTTACCAATTTTTTTGTAAATCTAAAACTGTTCTGAACAGCTCCAGATCCTCTATTATACACATGGGTATATTATATATACATGTAGGACTAACCACTGCTTGGCTATATATACAAGTGGATGTACTCCCATATGGCCTCTCACTTCCAATCAGTGTACCTAACACCTGTGTAACTACATGTACATTGTTATTATTACTGTTGTTGCAAGATTGCAACATTTATATAAAGTATAACAGTATTCACTGCTATTGCCTTTTATTTTTTTTTTTTTAAATTTTAGTCATATTTATTTATCTCGTGACAGAAAGCGTAAGTTTGTTATAAATAAGAATGTAACATACATTCTAAACCAAAGGCCTTTTATTTTTACTCTAGCTTTCTTTTCTGTATCTATCTCTACCTTGGTTTCACTGTGCTAACTTCCCCCATAAACTGTCTTTCATTCACTTAAGTTAGCACCTGTCTACCTTGAGAGATAATTATTCTCTCTTACCTCTTCCAACTCATGGAAACATCAATGAATGTTTCTTTCTGTGAACAAACATATTATTTTTATAATAGTAGTTTCATAAAATAAGATCCAGTTGTGACTGATTTATTTCACTCAGCATACTGTCTTCCAAAGCTAGTCATATTGTGGCTAACACTGAGAAGAATGAGAATTCCAGAACACTTAATTATGCTCATACAATTATTTCCTCTTACTTGGAACCACAATCAGTACTCTTGGTACCAACAGTCAGATCAGGAGACATACTGCATTGGGTTAATCTGCAGGCAGAGACCTCTCTAAATTGCCAAGGAGCAATGATGTCAGTTTGCAGATTTAACTTGTGATGGATCCAAACCACAGTCTTTTCAATAACTTGCTGTAACTGACAGCTGGACAGTAAGTAAGGATGACAGAAGAATTGATGCCTTTGAGCTGTGGTGTTCAAGAAGAGTACTGAAGTGACATGAACAGCTAAAAGAGCAAACAGATAAGCCTTGGAGAAAGAACAGCCAGAATGTTCCTTGTAGCCAAAGATGGAGAAGCTTCAGCTCACACACTTTGGGCATGTAGTTAGGAGAGATTATTCCTCCCCCTAACATGCTTGGAAGAAGACATAATGCCTGGAAGAGTGGAGGTCAGTGAAAGAAAGGAAGATTCCCAATCAAATGGATTGGCACAGTAACTACAATGGGCTCATGTATGTCAAAGGTGATGATGGCACAGGACAGAACAGTAGGGTTCAGATCTATTCATAAGGTCACACTCAACAGCAATGTCTTCCAGGTTCATTCATGCCATATGTCTCAGATTCATTGTTACTTTTTTTTTTGGTATGCGTGCGCACACGTGTGTGTGTGTGTGTGTGTGTGTGTGTGTGTGTGTGTGTGTACCGTCAAATCAGATCTGACTGGTACAGGAGGAGATTGCCCTTCCTTCTCCAACAGAGCATCTGGTGGATTTGAACCACACACCTCTGGGATTGCAGTACCAAATTTCTTGCTATAGATGAATAAGCACATCCAGGGATTCATGTGTCAATTGAAACACCTCAGTGGGTATTCCATCAATCTCTTTGGTGGGCAATTCAATCTGTATGCTGAGCAGATAATCTCAGAAGATTGGTTATAAAAAGAAATTTGCTATCAGGATTGAAAAAAGATTCATCAACCAACTGTGATACACAGATGACACAGCCAAGCTTGCAGAAAATGAGTAAGACTTAAAGCACTTATTGATGAATCTCAAAGATAATGGCCGTCAATATGAATTACACCTCAACAAAAAACAAAATATTTACCACGGGAGCAATAAATAGCATTATAAGTGCAGAAAAGACTGAAGTTGTCAAGGATTTAATTTGACTCGGATCCCATAATCAACATCCAAAAACACAGCAGTCAAGAAATCAAAAGATACATTGCACTGGGCAAACTGCTGGCAAACTGTTCTTCAAAATGCTAAAAAGCAAGGATATCATTGTAAAAACTAAGGTGGTGTTTCACCCAAGCCATGGTATTTTCAATTACTTCATATGCAGAAGATGGATAATGAATAAGGAAGACCAAAGAACTGTTGCTTTGAAATATGGTGTTGGTAAAGAATATTGACTTTACCCATGAACTACCAAAAGAACAAACCAATCTAGGAACAAGTGAAGCCAGAGTATTCCTTAAAGGTAAGGATGGTAAGACTCCCCCTCACATACTTTGGGCATGTTATCAGAAGAGACAAATGCTTGGAGAAGGACATCATGCTTGGAAAAGGTGAGAGTCAGCAAAGAAGAGGAAGGCCCTCAATGAGACAGACTGACACGATGTCTTCAGTAATGGGCGTAAGCACAGCAAGACTGTGAGAATGGTGCAAGATCAGGTAGAATTTTTTAGGGTCACTATAAACTGTTAGATTTGCTCAAAGGTAATGCACACTACAAAAACAAAGAAATTCAATGGGGGAGTAATACAGATACAGAACTTTAAGCAGTTACTAAAGCAAGCTGGAAAAAAACTGAAGTGCATCTGTAGATTTCCATGTCCTGGCTGTTAATATCAGAAGACCTAGAAAGGAGAAATAAGGAACTGAACTTCTGTAATCAAGGCCCTACAAATAGTACATTACCTAACTAAGTTCAAATTATTTACTGAAGACAAAGGTTCTGGATTTATAGATTCCTACTTTTAGATCTTTTTTCACTCAGTATTAAATCTTCAAGACCTTAAAGAAGTAAATAGCTAAGCTATCAACAGAGTTTACTTCATATGGGACTCAAACCAGAAAACTGTAATTCTCCAAAAGGTTAAAGCAACCTCTTTCCATAATTATAATAGCTATTAATAAGAATGGATATAGTGCTTGATTTTGGGCAAATTTACTTATACCACTACACTCAAATGCAAAGTATTTGATGATGGTCCACCAATCTAAAATAGATTCCTACAAGTGACATTCAACTATCTTCGCAGTTTTCAAATGATACATAATGGGTTTTGATTCTAAACTTAGTGCATAAAACTAATAGTTAACACTTCAAAATGCTATTAAAATAAAATAGAAGATTCTAAAAAAGTAATTGCAACTTATCGACTTGCTTACCAAAAACTGTGGGGGTTTTGTATCTGCATTGGAGATTACATATTATTATTTATGTCTCTTTCATGTTTCAGTAAACCTAAGTGATTAACGTGCAGAATCATGTAGGGGAAAAAAGAAACAGCAATAAAACTGTACATACTGCACCTCATTAGTTATCACTTTATAATAAAAAGTTCTATATAACCTAACAATAAATATCTCTATGCATCCTATAAAATAGCTGACTCTGCATCTCAATGACTGTTCACTACCACTTACTGTTCCCAGTATAAAGCAATAGTGCCCAACTTATTATAAGGGAAGAGAAGGACTCACTTTTCCCTCATTTCAAAGATTTCCTAATTTACCCAACATCTCATTATTTTTTTATTATACTCGTTTATTTATAAAATTTGAATACATTGTTTTTCAGACTAGATTCTTACAATTTCCCTCCCCCCAAAACATCTCAGTGTCATATTGAAAAGCTTCCATCTGTGACCACATTCTGCTCTCCCCTTCTTAAAATTTACAAAGGAAACAAATGTCTTAGGCATAACCTTGATATTGTCCCAATTCTGCCTGGTTCCATTCTGTTACAACTTGTAACTGGCATCACCAGTTTAGGGGCATTAGCAGTGTAAATAACACAAAAGTATTGTATTGCATTTCTAGAATTCATATGACATAGGTTCTTATAATTCAGTTTGGAAAGCAAAGATTTAAAATCCACTGGAAAAGTCACAAATACATGACTAAGAAAGCAACAAAAGAGCCACAAACCTTCTTGAGAAGACACAATGGGTGGCATGTAGTCAGGAATGTATTCTTTCCTTTCTTCTGCATCTTTACTTCCAGGTTGAGGAAACTGAAGTACATTGTTTTTGCTAACAGGAAATGAAGGAATTTGATGTGGAAAAGTAACAGGTTCTATATTGTGAATATAGTCTTCTAATTCATGAAGATTAACTCCCATCAGCTGGAAAGCTTCACTAACATCATCCAAAATAGGATCTGTTCGGCCATCTGAAACCAATCAAAAGCAAATAAAATCATTCTAAGAAAGTTTCAATGAATACTTTTTTCTATATTAAAAAAAAGTATTACACACAGCTCCGAGTCAAAGATAATACATATTTAGGACGTAGTTACTGAAAAGAATAGATTTTAAAGAGTATCTTAGAATTTAAATAAGTTTGAAAGCTGATTTTTTTAAAAAAAACCTTTTTTGCCCTTTTTTTATTATTTGTGTGAGTGTACCGTCAAGTCAGATCTGACTGGTTACAGGAGGAGATTGTCCCTCCTTCCCCGGCAGAGCATCTGGTGGATTCGAACCGTGCGCCTCTGGGATTGCAGTGCAGTTTCTTGCCACTAGGCCACCAGAGCTCCCCTAAAAAAACCTTTTTCTTTTACTTTATTATACTATTTTTGTGTATATTCTGTCAAATTGGATCTGACTGGTACAGGAGAAGATTGCCCCTCCTTCTCCAGCAGAATATCTGGTGGATAACGAATCATGCACATTTGAGATTGCAGTGCAGGTTCTTGCCAGTAGGCCACCAGAGCTCTGAAAAGCTGATGTTTTTCCCCAAAAGCTGATTTTTAAAGTCAGTTTTAAATATGATTTGAAAACCAACCAGAAGACAGATAATTCAAACTAAAAGCTAGATTATAACAAATATCAAATGTTTAAAGTTTATTGATAATCAAGCATCAGAAACAGTGGCTGACACACAGCAAACCCTCAATAAATATTACTGTTACTATTTTTTCTAACAGGTAATTAGAATGTTCTGTTGACTATGTAAATATATACCCACTATATTTTCTCTGCTCTGTGCCATAGCGTCAGAAATGACTCATAGCTGAGCCTCCATTGGGTTTTCAGAAGCAGTAATCACACAGGATTGCTCATCCTCTTGCAGAGCAGCTGGTGGATTTGAACCATGTGTCTTTAGGATTGCAGTGCAGCTTGTTACCACTAGGTCACCAAAGCTCATTTATTTAATTCTATTTTTCCTCTATTTATTCTTAAACATATCTCTGCCTAAAACAGTGACCAACATATAGCTGACATTCATTATCTGAATTAATACCACAAAACCAATTTCAAAAATGCAAGAAAATTCACAACTTAGATTATAAAGATAATTTGCAAATAAATCTTAAGATATAAGTAGAAGATAAAATTAAAAATGGACAGAGAGTGGTATAGTCTTAATACCTAGATAAAAACTTAGGTATAGTGAGATTTATGAGGAGGACGACTCATAAACAACCTGAACTATGCAGATGACACAACTTGCTTGCTGAAATTGAGGAGGACCTAAGTTGTTTGCTGCAAAAGGTCAAGGACTGCAGTCTTCAGTATAGACTGAAGCTCAACATCAAGAAAACAAAGATTGCCGGTTTGAATCCACCAGATGCTCTGCCGGGGAAGGAGGGGCAATTTCCTCCTGTACCAGTCAGATCAGATTTGACGGTACACACACACAAAAATAATAAAATAAAATAAAAAAGAAAACAAAGATTGTCACCAATGAGTCAAATTGGCAACATCATGCTAGAGATGAGACTGAGATTGTTAAAAATTTCAGCTGGCTTGGTTTGACCACCAATACTTTTGGTACCAGCAGTCAGGATCTTCAAAGACAAATTGCATTGGGAAAATCTGCTGTCAGGGACCTCTCTGGAGTGTTGAAGAGCAATAATGTCACTCCAGAAACTAAGGTGTGCCTGACAAAGGCCATGGTCTTCACAATTATTTGCTAAGCATCAGAGAGCTGGAAAACAACCAAAGATGATAAAGAATTGACGCCTTTGAGTTGTGGTGCTGGAGATGTGTTTTGAACATACCACAGACTGCCAAGAGAACTAACGGGTCTGTCCCAGAGAGGGTGAAACCAAGCTGTTCCTTGGAGGCAAGGATTTTAAAGCTCTGTCTCACATACTTTGGGCATGTGGCCAGGAGGGAACAGTCCTTGGAGAAAGACATCATGCTTAGAAAGGTAGAGGGACAGTTCAGGAGAGGAAGACCCCGGAAGAGATGGATTTACACAGTTACTGGGGTATTGGGGGTAGGGAGACAGTGAGACTGGTTCAGGATAGGACAGAGTTCAGACCTACTGTACTTTGGGTTGCTATGAGTTGCAGGCAGCTTGACAGCACATAACAACAACAGCAATACTTGTTGCTGTTGTTGCTGTTGTTGTTATGTGTGGTCGAGTCGCTTGCAACTCATAGCGACCCTATGTACAACAGCCCTAAACCTTGCTCTATCTTGTGCCAATCACACTGCCTCTAACACACCCATCCCGATTACCCCAGTCAATGAATCAATCCACCTCATTGAGGATCTTCCCCTCCTGTGCTGTTCCTCCACCCTCCCAAGCATGATGTCCCTCTCCAAGGACCT